CACACGCTTCCTTCTCTTCCAACTGTGACAACACCTTTGACTGTGAGGACACCCGTGTTGACATACGCACGTCCAGGTCTTTCGCTGCTTGGCCTCTAGAACATTCTGGCAACTACGAATACGCTGTCTAGTTGCTTCTGGTAATTTGTCGTTGATTCGAATTTGTTCTATCATCCCGTACGTATTTTTGTGATTTGCAAAATGACGTGTGTTACCTATTGACATCTTTTGTAAATGAATTGAAAACAAGTAAGGAAGGGCTAAGTTCGGATGTAACCGAACATTTTATACTCTCGCAAAGTCAAATAGTATACTCGTTTGAGATTTCTTTGTGGATTGGCTGATATTTTCGGTAGAAGGTCAACTATAGGCACTGGGGTCCACATATTTAGTACTTAGGGGCTTAAACAGTTTCGGTTCGATTTAGACAATTTTTGGCCACAAGGTGGCCTACTTTAATCGCATTATTCACGCAAAGTTTTATCCCGATACAGTCATTGTTGCCTGATTTGCATAGTGGAAAGTGAAAGAATCAGATGGAATGGTGTTATATGGAAAGTAGGCGTGGTTGTAGTCCGATTTCGCCCATTTTCGCACTATGACATAGAAATATAAAAAGAACGTTATACAAACGTTATACCGAATTTGGTTGAAATCGGTTAAGCAGATCCCAAGATATGGGTTTTCACCTAAAAGTGGGCGGTGCCACGCCCACTGTCTACTTTTGAACGCGGTTCCTATAAAGTCATCTCATACCATCCCAGAGATAAAACTTAATGTCTCTGGCGTGTTTAGTGCTTGATTTATCGCGCGTTTAGTAGTTTTTAACAGTACCGTTATATGGGGAGTGGGCGGAGTTGCCACCCGATTTCAACTATTTTCACACTGTAGGTAGAGGTTCTAAAAACATTTGCTTCCAGTGAATTTTGTTATTATAGCAATAGCGGTTTAGGAGATATGCACATTAAACCTATTTTGGGTATTATATATGGTCTTATGACTGCTGTCTAAATATAAATCAAAAGCGTATTATGTTCTTCATTCGGCGTATTATTCGCTAATATTTACAGAACTATGTATATATAGCCACCGTGGATACACGCTGGGAAATAAGATATAGATGAACCCGTATATCATTAAATCTACGACCTACAAAAAATTTCACTTATATTTTCGCCCAATATTTTATTAAACTTCGACTCCGATGTCAAATCTAAGTAAACCCTGTTGTTGTTGTTGTTTTTGTTGTAACGATTATCTAATCCCCGTTTGGGTGATAAATTCTAGATTCGTTGTCGTCGAGGTCATCTAACGGAAGGCCCAGGAAACGAGCTGTTTCGACGGGGTCGGACCATAGGGAGAGGGGTGTTAGATGAGTGGGGTTTGTTGGGCATGCAAAGAGGTGGTTAGTGTCATGCGGAGACTCATTGCATGCAGGACATGTGTTTGGTATGTCAGGGTCTATTCTGGATAGGTAGGAGTTTAACCTGCTACAGTATCCAGAACGAAGTTGCGCGAGGGTCACTCTAGATTCGCGAGGCAACTCGAGCTCTGTGTATGCAATGGGTGGTGGTTTGACTCGTATTACGCCATTCACTGAGAGGGAGTCGGTGAAGGTGTTAATGGCTCCACTGTGAATGGCGGTCAGTGCCTGTCTGAAGTTAGTTGCGTCCAAAGTCTGGTCGGCGTACTGTCTAATGTCGTGGACGTAGTCAAGGAAGGACCTCTTGATGTTCCTAGGAGGCGGCTCCGCTACAAGCAGGCGACTGCAGGGGTGGTTTCTGCGAAAACATCCCAGCAGAAACTGCTTGGAGAGGAGCTCGTTATGTTCCTTAACCGGAAGCATACGGGCCTCGCTATGTAGGTGTTCGATTGGAGACATCAAGAGGCATCCCGTGATAGTCCGGAGTGCAGTGTTCTGACAAGTCTGAAGCTTCTTATTCTGCGTGTCACTGCATCCAGGCGACCATATTGCGGCCGATTGCCTTGTATGTTGCCAACAACGTTTCTTTGTCTTTTCCCCATGAGCTGCCGGCAAGCGACTTGAGGATTTTGTTGCGGCTCTGTACTTTGGCAGTTATCGCGGTCGTATGAGGAGTGAAAGAGCACAGACTGTCCAAAGTGACGCCTAAAATTTTAGGGTTATTTACTCTCGGAATTTTTGTGCCATCGACTGAAATGTTCAGGTCCAGTCTGTACTCCTTTGACCTCGAAATAGTACGGATGAGTGCCGACCGCTCAGATAGTTCATGGTCCACCGCTTCAGCCCTGGAGGGAGCGTTGATTGTTCCAGGTCCTCAAGTAGCGTTGCGTGATTGACTGTGTCAAAAGCTTTTGACAAGTCCAACGCTACGAGAATCGTCCTCTCGCAGGGTGGCTTCTGGTTCAGGCCATGAACTATCTGTGTGTTTGGTGGTACTGTGCACTTTACGGAAGCCATGCTGATGGTCTGCTAGGCTCAGGTGGTGGGTAAATGACGGGAGTAACAAGGCCTCAAGTGTCTTCACTACTGGGGAAAGGAGAGTTATCGGGCGATAAGACTCCCTTTTGTTGGCGGGTTTCCCAGGTTTGAGCAGTGGGACCACTTTTCCGACTTTCCACACATCGGGTATTTGAAGAGTGGACATCGACAAGTTGAGGACCTTGGTGAGGTATCTTACTCAAGTCGAGTGTAGATGCTTTAGCATCAGCATGCTTATTCCGTCAGGGCCAATGGATTTAGATGATTTGGCCTCTTTGATGACATTCTGAACCTCCCCATCGGTGAAAATAAGTGGTGCGCAGTCTTTTGGCATTTTGCGCAGCCGTCGGGTAACACATCGTTTGGCCTTGTCGGTCGAAGGGTGCTATGTAAACTGCCGGCTAAAATAGCTCGCTCACTTCTTCGGGTCCGAGGAGGCATGTCCAATTGAATTTCAACCCAGTCGTCATGTCTCTTCGGATTAGACAAGGCCTTGACAGTGGTACAAAGCTTACTTAAACCGGTGGAGAGGTTGCAGGACTTCAGGTGCTCTATCCATTTTGTCCGCTTATGATGATTTACCATTTGCCGAATCTCCAAATCGAGATCCCTTATTCGGGGATCACAGGGATCGGCATGGCATAAGGTGTCGCGCTCATTTGCTAATACAGCTGCTTCGGCTGAGAAATTAGGGCGGAGTTCCGCTATTCTTCCAGCCGGTATGAAGCGAGCAGTAGCAGCAGCGATCACCTTGCGGAATTGACGCTCGCCAACGATGACGTCCGTAGGAATGGATAGTGAGTTGAAGGTGCTTTCAGTAAATTCTGTGAAGCCGACCCAGTTAGCTTTGTTAAAGTTAACATAAGTGCGGTTATCCACAGAAACAAAGTCAAGAGGTTTCTCGATCGAGATAATTATGGGCAGATGGTCTGATGCAAGAGTTAGCATAGGTCGCCAGGTTATACTATTTATCAGACCACCGCTAGCGATGGTAATATCTGGCGAGCTATTACAGGTGCCCATAATTCTGGTGGGCGCTTCGTCGTTCATTGTGCAGAATGTCGAATCGTCTATCTGTTCCGCTAGCTCCATCCCCCTACGATCGTTTGACAGGCAGGAATGCCTGATTTGGAGTTATGCTGTCTGTGTGAGCTCGTGGTCCACTCCCTGTGTGTCTTAAGGCCCGAGCAGGTCTTAAGATGGCTCCATCCATTGCATGTATTGCACCTAACCGAGGTGGAATTTGGATGGAGCCTTTTTGCGCATACGCAGCAGTAGAATTCCTCGGGGCCCGGGTTGGACTCGATGCCAGCACGGGTCAGGAGGATACGGAGCAACCCTGCTGCTAGGCGTTGCTCCAATGACGACAAACTTAATCTAAAACTTACCGATCCAAACAGGGTTAGATCGTCGAAATAACAGCCCTTGGCCGGATAAAATCCGGGTCAATTCCGGTATCGCAGAACCGGCTGTTGTGGGAATTGAGTAAGCCCTGTCTTTCTTCCTATCTCAATTAGATGCTTTTTATACAAAGCAATCCAGTTTCTAGTAACTTTAACCCTTTGTATATACGTATAGAGGTGATGGGAAACTTTAGTATACCATCCCACGCTTTCAGGGTTAAGAGGGTATGGTTGAATAGAGACGATCCTCAAAATCACGAATATATATATATATAATATTTATTATTATTATAATTATTGCCGACGGAAACCTTTAGTTTTCGAGATATTTACATATTAAGTTGAAAATTTTATATTACAGTTTCTCGATTTTTGGTTAACTCTTCTTTTATATTATGCACTTATTATATACTAACACACCACTACAATGTTTCTACATATTTATTTTATATTAATAAGTGAAATATTTGCTTTAAAATAGCATTTTATTTTTACACAATTTTCGTTATATGCACAATAACAAATAGGTTCCATATTGACAGATTTAAATTTAAATCGATCACTATTTAAGGTACGTGTTTTTTTAATTTATAATGAATTTTTACTTTTATATCCACTTCACAAATTCGTCTCTACACATTCATTTTATATTGAATGGCGCAAAAATGACTTTAATGATATAATCAGCATTATATATTTTTAAAAAGGAATAAAGAAAACAGATAATACCGCAATAGCAAGAAATAAATAACACATTATTAGATATTCCGCACAGGCGGACTTCGTCTGCGCTTCAAAAAAATAATCCTGATCTGTCAAACACAGGACAAAAAATAACTCTGGTTGGTCCAATACCGACGTGTGCTCGGTTCTTTCTTGTAGTAATCCTTTTTGCGTTGGCGGCCTTCGGCATAAAATAGTTGAATTTTTGAACTTTATATGCAAATATCTTAAATCCCATTAGTCAGCGGCAACTAATGTAAATATTTTGTTAATCTGGACTCTATCCGTTCATACCCATTTTAACCCCGAATTCGGAGGATGCTATTCTAAATCTCAAGCACCCTTTGTTTAATTTTGCTTATATGTATATAATGTGACAATTTTGTTTGATATTTTATCCTCTTACTGTTTACCAATAACTTCTCCTTTTGTAATTTTTCCGAATGTATTCCACAAGCTCGAAAGGAGGATTCCAGTATTTTAATTTGATCGGTTGTAAAGGGCAATTTTTGTTCATTCTTTCCATGCTGATTTCCCATTTTGATGTTAAATTATCCTATATTTATATTAAAATGTTTTGTTTTAAATCGACTAACGAAATTAATATCAATTCTCACGTGAGCATTATATAAGCTTACAAGTAACCAAAGAATCAGCTGTTTTCCTATGTGTGTGAAACAGCCGTGATCACCTGATCGAATATGCCTTTTTTTGACACAGAGTTTTAAATAAAAGGATGTAGTTTAACAATTTGTTTATGAACATGTATTTGTTATGAAAATAATAATGAAAACTTTCAAGAAAATTTTCGAAACAAAAGACTATTATATATCTATTGCTTTACCTCACCACCTCTGAGGTTGCAATATAGGCGCGTTACCGATCTCTTTTGATTGTTCGGTTACCCAGGAGGCCTATATTCACCCATTTAATATATACAGTTCTAAAACAATCTACTTTTCATAACAATTATAACTCGAAAAGATATACCTATACATAAAATAAGGTACATGAATCAGGTTCATGAATAACAATAGCATTAACAATATAAGTTGAGTCAACTTGATTTAAACAAAAACGAAAATAAATATAAATAAAAATCAGGTACAATTCAATTATAAAATAATATATTTGATAAAATTGGAAACATTTAATAATATTTCAACACAATAAATATTAATTTAAATAATAAAATGTAAATTTAAACTTTAGGAATTAAAACAACCGAAAAATATTTGAATATGTAATAAGAACATTCTTAAAGTTATAAATTTTAAAACATAACACGGCAACACATTATAGCAGATTTCTGTCATTTGGACGTTTTAGTAGCAGAATATTGGTTGGCAACCCGTACCAAGTGTGATTTTAGTAGTAGAATTTTCGAGGCAACCCGTACCAAGTGGGATATTTTTGATTGTGTATTAGTGAAAATCTTAAGATTGGCTACTTGTAGATTTATACAATGCACATGTGCTCAGTTAAGCACGAAACATTGTATTAGGGATATTCGATATACATCGATGCATCAAATTCACTCGATGCTTATAGTTCGATGAATCGAATCTATCCGATGTTTTAAAAAACGGTTGATTCACTCGATGTATTCTCATAAAACATCGAATCAATTGTAACCAGCTAATTATTGTTGTTCCTATTTATTTCTTATTTTTAATCTCATATACTTTAGAAGTTATGAAATCAAACTATATTTTTTTTGTTGGTTTCGCTAGTTGGCTGCTGTCGGCCTTTGAGACAGAATTGGCATTGACAACACTGATTGCGCGTGAGAGAAAAAAAAGTGTTTGTTTGTTTTGTCTCTGTGGTGTTGCGGTCAGGATGATCTTTGAATAAAAACTTTAAATTACATTTTGTTTCGGGCTGGCGTGAAATTCGTGAATTTGGCAGCGTGTTATACCAGAGAACATATGTGATTCGAGTTGGATATCATATACTCATTATCGCATATCGTTTCTTTAAATCATCGATACGGCAGGTAAGTAAAGTAATAAAGTAAGGTTAGGATAACTCATTTATTCTCACGTAACAATAGTGACAGTTAATAATTTTTAATTGACTGATTGACAGAATAAATAGAAGATACTTTGTTATGTGTAAGACACTTCTTGACAGATTTTATTTATATTTTATTGCATAAATTTCAGCGAAAACATAGGTCAATTGCACAATTTTGATAATAGGTTAACAAAAAATTTGTTGTTGTTGTTGTAACGGTTATCTAGTCCCCGCTTGGATGATAAGTGATAGTTTGGTTGTCGTCGAGGTCATCTAACGGCAGGCCCAAGAAACAGGCTGTTTCGATGGTGTCGGACCATTAGGAAAAGGGTGTTAGATGAGTTGGGTTTGTTGGGCATGCCAAGAGGTGGTTAGTATCATGCGGAGCCTCATTGCACGCAGGACATGTGTTTGGTATGTCAGGGTCTATTCTGGATAGGTAGGAGTTTAACCTGCTACAATATCCAGAACGAAGTTGCGTGAGGGTCACTCTGATTTCGCGAGCCCACTCGAGCTCTACGTCTGCTATGGGTGGTAGTTTGACCCCTAGTACACCATTCACTGAGAGGAAATCGATGAAGGTGTTAGTGGCTCCACTGTGAATGGCGGTCAGTGCTCCTCTGAAGTTCGTTGCGTCCGAAGTCTGGTCGGCGTACTGTCTAATGTCGTCGACGTAATCAAGGAAAGACTTCTTGATGTTCCTAGGAGACGGTTCCGCTTCAAGCAGACGACGTCAGGGGTAGTTTCTACGAAAATTTCTGACAAGTCTGAAGCTTCTTCGTCTGCGTTTCACTACATCCAGGCGACCATATTGGTGATGCATAGTTTAGGACCGGCCGGCCGATTGCCTTGTATGGTCGTGTGAGGAGTGAAGGAGCAAAGACTGTTCAATGTTACGCCTAAAATTTTAGGGTTATTAACCGTCGAAAATTTTGTGCCATCGACTGCAATGTTCAGGTCCAGTCTGTACTCCTTCGTCCAATTTGTGAATATGGTCGCTGTGGATTTAGTGGGGGAAAGTGTCAGACTCATTGCAGAGAAGAAGCGAGAAAGGTCGGAGAGGTAGCTGTTTACTTATGAGCACATACCATCGATTCCATTGCCCGACGTCAATATCGTGCAGTCATCAGCGTACGAGGTCACGGAAATTCCCGATGGTGGTTGGGGGAGTTTCGAAATGTAGAAATTAATCAGCCGCGGGGAGAGGACACCGCCCTGTGGAACCCCCTGTTTAATTCTTCTAAGTTTGGAGTTTTGGCCTCGAGACAGTACGGATGAATGCCGACCGCTCAGGTAGTTCATGGTCCACCGCTTCAACCCTGGAGGGAGCGTTGATTGTTCCAAATCCTCAACTAGCGTTGTGTGATTGACTGTGTCAAAAGCTTTTGACAGGATCGTCCTCTCGCAGGGTGGCTTCTGGTTTAGGCCATGAGCTATCTGGGCGTTTATGACGCTAAGTGCTGTGGTGGTGCTGTGCACTTTTCGGAAGCCATGCTGATGTTCAGGTGGTGAGTGAATGTCGGGAGTAGCAAGGCTTCAAGTGTCTTCACTACTGGGGAAAGGAGTGTTATCGGACGATAAGACTCCCCTTTGTTGGCGAGTTTCCCAGGTTTCAGTAGTGGGACCACTCTTCCGACTTTCCACACATCGGGTATTTGAAGAGTGGACATCGACAAGTTGAGGACCTTGGTGAGGTATCTTACTCAAGTCGAGTCTAGATGCTTTAGCATCAGCATGCTTATTCCGTCAGGGCCAATGGATTTAGACGATTTGGCCTTTTTGATGACATTCTGAACCTCCCCATCGGTGAAAATAAGTGGTGCGCAGTCTTTTGGCATTTTGCGCAGCCGTCGGGTAACACATCGTTTACCGGCTAAAATAGCTCGCTCACTTCTTCGGGTCCGAGGAGGCATGTCCAATTGAATTTCAACCCAGTCGTCATGTCTCATCGGATTAGACAAGGCCTTGACAGTGGTACAAAGTTTACTTAAACCGGTGGAGAGGTTGCAGGACTTCAGGTGCAATATCCATTTTGTCCGCTCCGTAAGGTGTCGCGCTCGTTAGCTAATACAGCTGCTTTGGCTGGGAAATTTGGGCGGAGTTCCGCGATTCTTCCAGCCGGTATGAAGCGAGCAGTAGCAGCGGCGATCACCTTCCGGAATTGACGCTCGCCAACGATGACGTCCGTAGAAATGGGTAGTGCGTTGAAGGTGCTCTCAGTAAATTTTGTGAAGCCGACCCAGTTAGCTTTGTTAAAGTTAGTGAAGGTGCGGTTGTCCACAGAAATAAAGTGAGAAGGTTTCTCGATCGAGATAATTATGGACAGATGGTCTGATGCGAGAGCTGGCATAGGTCGCCAGGTTATGCTATTTATCAGAGTACCGCTAGCGATGGTAATATCGGGCGAGCTATTACAGGTGCCCATGACTCTGGTGGGGGCTTCGTCATTCATTCTGCAGAATGTCGAATCGTCAATCTGTTCCGCCAGATTCATCCCCCTACGATCATTTGACAGGCAGGAGTGCCAAAGATCGTGGTGCGCCTTAAAGTCACCGAGCACCAAGCGATTTTTACCACGAAGCAGCACACCTATATTCGGGTGATATCCTGCTGGGCAACATGTAACTGGGGCGATGTATATATTGAATATCTCGAGCTCGACATCGCCTGACCGGACAGCTATACCCAGACATTCAAGGGCAGTGTCCCTGCGATCGATGTCATCATCAATTAAACGATATTGCACGGTGTTGTGCAGTATGAAGGCTAGGCCTACACCATTATCTTGCTCACGATCCTTACGCAAAACGTTGAAACCTACACAACTCAGAAGATCTGAGCGGCTGCTTAACTCGGTTTTTCGGACCGCAGTTATCGATACGCATTCCCGGCTAATGAATGCAACTATCTCCTCGGTCTTACTCTGGAGTCCGTTGCAGTTGAATTTTAAGAGTCGCGTTTGGCGACTGGAGTGGCGGCACAGTGCGGGAACATGGTGCAGATTGCACAGCCGTTAAGGCTGGTGTCGCAGTATTGCGTTGGCAGCATGGAGCAACGTAACTTGTGGTCCACTCCCTATGTGTCTTAAGGCCTGAGCAGGTCTTAAGATGACTCCATCCATTGCATGTATTGCACCTAACCGAGGTGGAATTTGGATGGAGCCTTTTAGCGCATATGCAGCAAAGGAATTCCTTGGGGCCCGGGTTGGACTCGATGACAGCACGTGTCAAGAGGATACGGTGCTGCTAGGTGTTGCTCTATTGACGACAAACTTAAACTAACACTTACCGATCCAAACAGGGTTAGATCGCCGAAATAACAGCCCTTGGCCAGATAAAATCCTTGTCAATTCCGGTAACGAAGAACCGGCGGTTGTGGGAATTGACAAACAATTTTTCGACACAAACAATTTGAATGATTTGGCTGAAATCAATAAATTAAATTTTTACATAAAAGTACACAATCAGGCCTTAAAGTTGCTGCTTTACAACCGTCAACGAGCTCTTCTGCTGGAATTGAATTGACTAAAGAAGCTGGATCTGTTCCTTCAACGCCAAAACGTCAAAAGTCTATAATGTCAAGTTTTGAAGAAATTTATGCGTTTTCGGCAAGTGGTGATAAAACATTGA